AAGTTAGTTTGTTTTCCACTGTAGCTGATTTACTGCTGTGTAGCTGTCATGTGATAACTGGTCTTATACTTTTCATACATGCTGTATTGTTTAAGTATACTTGGCTTTGTCATCATTTACTGCTTTCTATATGAAGGTTAGATTTAGTGGTCCAGATGAAGATTTGTTTTCAAAGACAGTATAACACAAAAACATACATACATATAGACAATACATAAAATGATGTATACATTTTGTCGTGAATGTGTATATTGTTTATTGCTGCAGCTAACCTTTGTTGTCATTATCAATTCATACTTTGCACATGACGTACAACTACTAGCTGGCGGCAAGAACATCGTTCTCACAGCAACAAACCCAGTAAACTAATCAAGATGTTGCCAGGACGTTCGCCAGTTTACTATACAAAAGTATAAAGTATCATATGTATTGTGATTTGATTTGATGGAAAGAAGATACATGTTACAGTACCACACGTTACTTTTGTTACTGCGCTTACTTACTTACATTACTGGCATACCTACTATCGTACAGTTGATTACTTACTACATTAACGTTACAACCAACAACAATTGCTAACAGATTATAGGCTTTCGCTGCCCCTGCTGCTTCTTGTATGTTGTCTGGATTGCTATGTGGGTTGGATAAAGCAGTAGCCTACAATGTTGACCTCCTGCTAGCCATTATTGATACAGCCTAGTGGCATAAGGTTTTTTTAAACTAAGCGTTACCTTATCAAGCGTCATTGGCCGGCAGGCAGGGTGTACATATTCAGATGAAGACTTCATCACACGACGGAAAAGTGTCACTTTTTGTGTAAGTTGCCAAACGTAAGGCGGGTAACGTTAGCCTAACTAGTAACACTCCAACGTTTGCTTTGATTATGAAGATAATTTCCTGTTTTCACCTCCCCCATAACGACAGCGTTGTTTAACCCATCCACTCTTGAAAAAAAATAGCTATCGTACTTGTGTTTTCTTTTTGGGTTAAAAAAAGGCCTTTCTTTTTTGTGCGGTGTAAGGTGACGGATATGTTTAAATATATATGTTTCTTGCCCGCCAGGTAACCATGGTAATCACGTGACTGCAAAGTATGAATTAAACTGTTAAAAAATATAATTTCTCAGAGCCCAACCTGACATCATCATTCTTGTTTTGTTCAACCAAAACCCAAAGATGTTCAATTTAACATGATATATAACATCCCACATTTGTGATACAAGAACAAGCAAATATTGGGTATATTTGCTTGTTTGAATGTCTATTCATCGACTAATCCTTTTAAGCATGTTCTTATATGTAATTCATATTTATTGTGAAAGTGTCATCTGGCATATCTAAACTATTTTAGTACTGCTAAGTCATTCTCTTCAAAACAAGAAATAAAGTTTAGAAATATTATTAGTTTCTGACCTTCATGCAGTAAATTCGTGAAGTGGTTCAGTTTAACCACATTCATTGGAACATTCACTGTTATTGAATCGAAGCAGCAGCCCCTCGGAGCTCTATTGATGCTGTTTTTTGTTCCTTTAAAGAATCAATTCTTTGTTAACAATTCAGTTGAGTTAAGCTTGAGGGGTTTAAGTGTAGTTGGTGGGATATAGCGGCGGCTTGAAGAAAGGCCAAGCAGAGAGGAGGAACTGTGTAGAGACGTGGTTGCATTCAGTCATTGTCAACATCATGTGATCTCATCGAAGCATTTTTCACATTCATACACGAACAACAAACAGTCATTATTTTGTCACTAAGAACCGTTGGTGTTTTGCCTCAACACTGCAGCTCCCAGTGATTATATAGTTCATTATCTTGCAGTGTGGTTCTCCAGTTTAACCTGTAATGTAATTGAGGATATGAACTCGGCTTAAAGAACATAGACTGTTATAAGTTGTGGGTGTAAAGTGTCTGCAGCTGAATGAGGGAGCATGTCCATCTGGTAGTTTGATGATTTTTTTTGCTCTCTCAGAATGTGGGAACTGTCTTTGTGGCGGTTGGACATTTAGAGTCCTTTTGTGGGTATCCGTGCTGTAGTGAGGTGTCAGTGTCGGGGCCTTGGCAGCGCCTGTGGAAACGTTTAACTGAAGCTCTTTTGAGCAGCTAGAATAAAAAGGATGCAGCAATGCCTCAGTGTCATAGCAATAAGGCCTAGCACCCAAGCATCACTTTTTACTGTTTACTCAGATCGTCACAGAAGTGACTTATAAGAGCGCTTACATAAAGGTTGGGGAAGAATAACAACTCTCAGGGCACAGAAAGTAAGTCAACAGCAAACTTAAATTTGTTGTTTCCGTGAACATCTAATCTTGTATACAACATCAGTCCTTTCACAGATTGTTCATGTTTGTCCAAGTTTATACTAGACCCAACATTTAATGCCCTTTTAAAGTATATAATTTATACTTTCTCGTCTCTGCCCCACTTGCTTGTTGAGACAAACAACGTATAAACTGCTCCCTTTTACAGACACTCCCCTAGTTTGGTTTATAAGCAGAAGTGTGTGTGTGTGTGTCCCAATACGCGCGTAAGATCCTATATACCGCTGGCTGCGAAGTCGTGTGATTTGTATAGAAAAACTATCAAGTTCTGAGACCTGCGACTGATACTAGTGTTTTTGTTTGTCATGGTGATCTTTTAGGTCTGGTCTGTTTGAAGCTGAATATGACAGGGGAGGCGGGCTGTCCCAGAGGAGCCTGCTCACAAGAGAGGAATC